ACCAATTAAAGGATTTAATACCACTAGAGAAAATCTAATACAATCACCAATAGTATAATGCATACAACTCCAGAGAGAGATGGATTCCAAGTTAGTAAGCTTAAAAAAATAAAAGAAAAGGAGAAAACGAAGAAGTAAGTATACCGCCCATAATTACCTCATCAAGTAAATATCAAATTCACATTTAAATTTATCAAAACACCATTTAATATCAATCAATTTTAGTAAGATTTCATCAAATTAACCTTATTCCAAAATCCTCAAAACCCAATAAATTAACAACAAAGCACACACACAGTGCTGCGGGCATGGGGGTGAGGAGATGGGTGTGAATGTGTTTGGGCTGTGGCTGGTGGTTTGATTTAGCGTGAAGAGAGAAGGTAGATAGAGAAATAGATAAGAAAATTCAAAAAAACAAATTTAATAACTGAGATTCTGTGAGTTGTAAGCAGAGAGTGAAAGACCGAGTGTCTTGGCTGAGAGAGAGATTGATTTGAGTTAGGTCTAAAATGGGAGGCAATTTGAAATCCTTCGTTGATGTAGGGCTAAAATTGGGACAAATTAAAATCCATCGATCTGGAATGGAGAGAGAGAAGAGAAGACTTACATTCGATTGTTCATTGTTGAGATTGATTGCCTTGCTGAGTTTGAGACTTCGCCCGTCTTGCCTGATGTCGCTAGAGCTCAAAGAGAGAGAGAGCGGAAGAGTACTGCGGAGCTGCTTGTGGTATACTCGAATGAGTGTTCGATTGAATTTGAATAGAGAGTGTTTGAACAGATCTGGACGTGAGAAAGAGAGAGAGTTTCTGGAGAAAGTGAATAGAGAGAGGAGAGAGTTCTAGAGAGGAGTTCGCTTGAGAGAGAGTGTGTGCGTTTTGGAGAGTTTTTTTTTATTAGGAGTTCTAGAGAGTAGAGAATATATTAATTTAAGTGAGTGTGTGAGAGAACATGTGAGTGTGTGATGAATTGACTGGGCGGGAATCTATTTTTTGGAAGTTAATATCAACTCTTAGATCAAATTTAGAAAAATTTAAAAACGATCTGAACTGCGAAAAGTAAAAGTCATTTTGTTTATTTTTCAAAATTTGAATTGTAAACTAATTTATTATATATGTATATTCTTTTATGTAATACAGATTATTTAGTAAATAACATACCATTTTAGAGATATTCTCTTATTATATTCTCTGTGGATTCACAATGTGCGTTCTATATACTTAGTGTTACCCCTTTAGCTTTTGGCTCGGCGTTGGCATGGGGCAGCCTCGCCTAAAGGCGCCTATGTATAGCCAAACTGGGTTTCGTTTAAGGAAGCAAACCCTTTGCACAATCAGTGGGTAATTGAAGACATGTGCATGGCTGAGGATGGTAGCTCATGCATAGGCACGGTGGCATAATCAGTGGGATTAAAGCCCCATGCACGGCTGGGCGTAACAGCCAAGGAATGGGCACGTGGGCACATGTAGGCTTACAAGCAAAGGCTAGTCAAAGGACTCGATTTGTGGGGCAATGTGCTTGGAAAATCAAGTCATGGGCTGGGCATGGCTGGGCACGAGTGCAATACAATTCGGATGCTGAGGGTTCTTGACACATGTATAACATGTGAGGAAGTTGGGCATGTGCCTTGTAGTTGGTGACAGTTCTGTACAGTTATCTGGCAAGTGCACAACATGTGGGATCTAAGTCAGATTCAGCTTGCAAGAAAGATGCAGACACCAGTTACAACTTTCTCTGTCATCTAATCAGAGTAGACTTAGGGGCGAATTTGAATGTATGCAGTTGCCTAGGCAGTTGGGCTTGTAACCGCCACTTTGAATATTATAAATAAGGTGTCACGGTTGACAGTGCAACCAACAAAGTGTTAGGCACGTTTTTGTAAGTAGATCCTGGCTAAATGTTCGTGTATGCTTTATTTAGAAAGAAAAGGTTGGGTCATGGCCTGGAAAGCTTGTGTGTGCTTTGTGTCTTGTTTATTGTCCTTATTCTGTTTATTGTGTGCATTCTAAGTGTTTGACTGAGATTAAGTGTGAGATCTTAGTGCCATTATAAGGTAAAAATTTGGTGAAAAATTTAATCTTGTAACACTTAAAATCGTAGTATTTTTTGTATTTTTTTATTTCGCTATGTCAATCTATCTAAATTATTATGGGGACTTGATTACGATATTAAAATAATATTTTATAATTTTTGTGAGGGTTACGAATTTTGTGATAATTGTTTTACAACAAAAGTTATAGATAATCGTACGATCCTAATTTTTTTTAATTTTTTATGGATTACCGGAGTGGATGAACATGATGTGTGTGACAGGACATCAATCCGCCGACACGATGTCTCACATGTTGAAAATTAAACCCATATTGCCAAGATATAATCAAGTGTCAAGGTACCATTGAAATACTTATATTCAAATAAGAAATCAATGATTTCTGAAAATATAAAAAATAAAAAACAAGAATCAATGATAACACGAGGCATAATCATTCAAAGAGTTCTGTCTCTAACGAAAATGTCTTCGGCAAGTTGAGTTACAATAATTCCATACAGAATAAGATGATCCTGTCGAGGTGCTAAAAAAGAAATCTATTGCCTGCGACTCTCGTTTGTAAAAAATTTAGAAACAACAAATACATATAATTTTATTAATATTTGAATAAAAAATTGTCGTCCAAAAATCCGTGCTGCGAGAGATAGAGAGATAGAGACTTATTTGAAAATTTTCATACAGAGTATGTAAAATTATTTGTGAAAAATTTCATTTATTTCTCATCTTGATAGGGTTTAGAAAATAAGTCAGCACTAGAGATGTTTTTAAATATATTTTTTTGGCACACTGGAAAAATAAAATGAGAAGCATTATGACTCTCTAATGAAAAAGGTGCTGGGCAGATGTTGTGTGTATTAAATTGGATTACCAGGTTTGCAGTCTTGGACTTCGTATACAACAAATCACATAATTACGTTGAAGTCTCTCACCATCCTCGGCCTTATGTCATGCTTCTGACTTTTCATTTTCCTACCAAACAAAACATTAAGTTAAGGTGCAACACATGGTTATTCCTCGGATGATACATTGCTTGAAGCAGTGTCTTCACACAACCTCCGTCGACTTTCATCCCCGAAATCAAGTCCGCGAATCAAGGCAAACTCGATAATGCATTTACAGTATCATAGGTGATTTGAATGGGCTGGAAAGTCATTGCCTTGTTATCGAAAGAACACTCGTGATTCACACATAACTATAGACTGATTTGTTAATCAAATGGACAAAGTATTACTAAATTGAAAAAATATTTTTGTGTAAGATGTATGAGATGAGATAGTAAATAAAATCTTATTTGTGAGAAAAATATAAGACAAGTTACTTATTACAGAGGTATGTATATCAGCATATGATAAGTTTAGTTATTTATAAGATGCATACAAAAAAAAGTGAACTTAGTAGTTTGATAATAAATATTTTAATAAGATAAAAATAAATATTTATGGAGTGGAAATAGCCACACCCTTCATGTTTACAATGTAACATTGATTTTGAAATTACACAAGGGTTCCAAATTACGAATCAGCTTTTTTGATCATAGATAACACTTCTTAATATTTACCTCTCTCTCTGATATTATTACAAGTGGGAGTATTATTCACTGTAAACCAAAACTCTTAGGGACTGCTTGGTAAAGGAGTACGAGGGAGTTTGACTAGATAAGTTTGGAAAAAATAATCTAAAGCTCCTCCAAATCTTATGTTTGTATGAAACATTCAGTCTCACGTTTTCAAATCCGGCCCGTAATTAACCTAAAAATTAAATTCATGATTATGAGTTTTGTTAAACCTAAGGGGCAGCTTGGTTTGGAAAGATGAGTAAGGGTTTAAGAATCCAAAAGACAGTTGTATCGCTTAACATAGATATGAATTTGATTGATTAAAGTTAAAATAGTCATTTATAAGATAAATAATTGTTAATAATTATAATATATTTGTGGGTCCTACATGTGTATGTGTTACATATCAAATATGAGTATGAACTAAATTGAATGTTGAATCTCATTTTTACAAAGAGGGATTTGAGTTTGGAGAAACCAATCGAAACCCCTCCCTAAAATTCATCCAAACAAACCCTTAGTTTCAAATAACAATATTAAGGGTGGGACACTTCCCGTCCTATAAATATTCATTCTCACTCGGTTAAATTTTTATTGTTAAACTATTATGTTTGTCATTTTAATAATTAGGACATTAAAAACTAAGTACACTTTAAATTATATAAACACACCTTTTTAATAAGTAAATTTACTAAATGAAAGTAAAAGCAACCCGCGTTAAAATGGGCATAGTGTAATAAAACATAATTGCTTCTTTATTTCATCACAAATTAAATCAAAAGGATATACAAAGAAGATTTAGAAGCACTAGCCCACTTAGTTGAAAATAAAAAAAGGTGAATTAAAAATGAAAAACAGGTCACATACAATGTCACCTACAACTACAAGCAGCATCTATATCATAGTCCAATAGTTTATTCGACTTAGTATCACTTCATGAGGGAGAAGATCTATTTAAAATATGACTGATACCTCAACTGAATAAGGAAGTTAGTCTGTTATCTTCGATATTCTGATTCCTCAATCACAGGAGAGAGAGAGAGAGAGAGAGAGAGAGAGAGAGAGAGGGGGGGGGAGGGGTTAGATGTAAATGTAGGCTTGTGGGGACAGTGAGACAAGAAGATACGGACTTGGGAGAACAGGGGCTAACCGGCAATAGCACAAACTTTTCTCACCTGTCTGTATCACTGCCACACTTTTGGCCGACCCAACTTCAATGGTGTCCATAATTTCATCTCTTTCATAACCGACAATGCTCCTAATCCTCTCTCTCCCTCCCTCCCTCAGCCCTTGTATATAAATCGGACAACTTCAACCAAAAACCCCATTCACTTTGAACCCCATTTCTGATTTTGAGCTTCGTTTAATATTAGTTCAAAGTTGTTTGTCTTTTACTCTATGAAAATGGAACTTGAACTTGGTCTAGCCCCTCCAACCCAGATAGGCTTCGACCTAAACAACGTGTTTCAACCAAAGGACATGTTCAGAGATAGATGCGCTCTGGAAATCAAAGACAAGGCGAAAAACAAGCCCAGTTTTGCAGAGGCATTTGAGCATGATGGAGGAGCTGCCACTGACACTTTGCCTTTACTGCTGTGGAATGGCCAACCAAACGAGGAAGATGATCATCAAAAGAGACAAAAAAGGAGAAGATCAAACACCAGCATCAAGTAAGTTACAATCTCACTGAGTCACTGGTCACTGCCAATTTTATAACCTATTCCTTCATTTCAATCTGATCTATAATGGAAATATAACAACTTAAGTAGAAGTTCAATATACGAGACTCTGGTGAAGAGACGGTTAGGTACACAACTTTACCAATATGTCGAGAGACTATTTCCAATTTTGCGATGAAAATGGAGAAAAACATCACAAACAAATGCAGAAGTGACCAATCCTGATGGAGTTTGATATTTATAAGAAACGGCCTATATTTTTTGTTTACAATGGCGTTTATTCACTTTGCATGCATAGTTTAGGGGTTCTTTCTATAGTTAAGTTACCTTGTCAATATGATTTATAGTGTTAGTGCGCTAAAATGTACAAAATAGACCATTGAAATGGATTTTATAGTTTATGGGAAAGGACAGAAAAATTATTGATATAAACTCTATGATCATATTAGAACCTTGTAGATGAGGCTAAATGGGTACATTAAATCCTAGTGCTAGCTACAAAGGATAGTCCAAGGCAGAAGGTTTCTGCCACTATAAATGGGTATAATTAGGAAGGTCAGACAAACACACACACACACACATACACTTGTATATATATGTGTGTGTAGAGTAATATTATTTGAATTTAAAATTTTAACTTAATTTGTTCACACAATGATGTGATTTCAACCGAACCATTAAATCAACATCAAATTTTTGATGGGTTCCACAATCAATCAGAAGGTCATAGTGAATTAGGTGAATAAATTAGGTCCTAATAGCATTGCTCATATATGTATACGTCTAAACTCTAACTCTTACGCTGAGAGACTAACTCGAACTTGTCAAAACCGTCCCGATTTTTAAATTTGATGTGGCAAGGTCATATAGGGCTTAGTAAACATGTCCATATTGATAAGAATATGTAAAGGATCCTACTAACATCAGTATTGTTAAAATCTGACAGGAGCGGTGCAGAAGAAGATCATCTGGTGGGGTGGCCAGCTATTAAGTCATGGAGGAGAAATTTCTTCCACGGACATGAAGATTGTCAGCTCGTCGGCCACTGGAAGACTGAGAGAGGAAATAGCAGAACAAATACCACCAATACCATGTATATTAAGGTGAAGATGGAAGGAATGGCCATAGGAAGGAAGATCAATCTAAGGCTTTATCATTCTTATCAGACCCTTACAGACTCCTTGGTCAACATGTTTATTAAACGTAAGTGACAGTACAATGGGAAAGCTTACGGTACCAGACCACCGAAAGTTACTACTCACGACTCCACGAAAGATGTAATGACTTAAATAGTCGGGTTACCTCGAATCGATCCTAAAAAGTTAGGTTGGATCTTAATTACAAAGTTATAATTTCTAATTTTTAAGTCTAGTTGAGTCGTAACTTTCGACACACTACAAAACTCGGTACCGTAGTCGTTCCCACATGCTGTTCAAATTCTTCGAAGTCAATTGAAGAGTTTTTGAAACTGTTTGGTTTTTTTTTGTTTTGCAGGCCTAAAAAGTGACGTAGATGGCGCCAATTATACACTGTTGTATCAGGACAAAGATGGAGACTGGCTGCTTGCTGGGGATGTTCCATGGCAGTATGTATACTAATTGCTTTTCCCTCTGTTTTTTAGCTCATTAGTATAGATTATAGAGGGTGAAACTAAGCCGTTTATTAAACCAATTGGCTAGAGGCTCGGGTTCGATTTATTTTTTAGCTTGTACAAGCTTGTTCGTATTTAAAATGAACCAAATATCATTAATTTTAAGCTTGTTTAATATTCATGCTTGAGCGACGTGCCATTCAACTCGGTGGACTCAGCTCTTTTCATTTACAATATAGTGTTGATATTTTCCAAGTTTTAAAAAATGACAATTACACATTAAGCTTGATGGGTCACAAGCGTTATTTATAATTAAAAATGTGTGGGTTTTGAGTCTCATTGGACATGTAACTTTTGAATTTGTTTGAGCTCGAGGTTGAATTCAAATCCTGTATATGTGATCTAAAAACGGGGCCAAGATTGAGCAAAACTTTCCACTCAATAATCGAACTTGAGTTGATTTCGTGCATGTGATAGTCAATTCAAGGGCTTAATTAACTACCCCGTGTGAAAAAAAATATAAATTACAGACGATAGTGATCTAGTAATTATCAGGGATGTAGAATCTATGTATAATTCAAAATACAGCAGGTAATGCTTCTATATATTTAGCTTGTCAATAAACAATATAGGCCCGTAAATTTACTTCAAAATTGGCTACAACAGTGGTCCCTAAACACACCACTCAAATGATCATAACCATTTGTACTTTTCAATCTGTTTAATTGATTTGTGATCTAATGCTTGATAACTAATGTTTTTGCAGAACGTTCATCGACTCTGTGCAACGGATGCAGATACTAAAAATTGCCGATTAACAAGATTGAAGATTATTATCCCTTAATTAGTATAGAGTGCTTTCACAAAATCTTATTTGGCAGCGTGGAAGGATTGTCTCTGGGGGGCGTTAAAATGGTTAAAGCTCCAGGACTCCAGATACAACATGACACTCTTTTTGCCACCAGTGTAGTAGGGGTCTGTCGTGGATCAGCAGAAATACCTTGTGATATTTGAAAAATAACAAATGTGTTACTTACTCTTTGTCCTTGTACACTAGTATTAGTAGAATGTATTTTGATGAACTTTGATAGAATACAAAAAGTTATGTGGACTACCCCTCTCGTGCACGAAACTGGATCGAATTTTGTTCTATATGCCTTGTGAATTTCACACTGTTTGAGAGGTCCCTAAAGCTTGACAGCCTCTCTTATTATTTATAGAAACTTACGGATGGTGGAGTTTACTTTTGGTTCATAGATTATGCGGGTCAATTCTTAAATAACACAATCAGTAATCATATAACAAATTTAATCAAACAAGTTATAGCATAATAAATTAATAGACCTGAATTCACACTAGACGAGACGAGATAATACCACTCAATTGTCAAGCCCAAGCTCCAAGGATTTGATTGTGACTGATCTGATCTAGTCTTTGATGGCCGGCAGCCAACCCGAAATTAGCCTCATTGTTTGGCCATTTGCTCGTCCAACTTGGCTGGTGGAATGAATAGGTTTACTTTGGCACTGAAATTGGGCTGAAATAAAGCCGAAGATCAGTTTGCTGTTGAGTCTTTTTACATCAAATGATCGCCTAGATATAAACTAGTCAAAACAATTTGAACTCCATTGGGGATTTAAATAATCGAATTAATTTAATGTTAGAAATGAAGGGTGGATGACCTACTTTTGAATAGACCAGGGAAGAAATTAGTCGAGGTGCGTAAATTAGTCCAGACACTCTGTACCATTGAAAAAAAAAAGGTAATTGATTGGATTTTGGTCAATGGCGTGATTCCTTAATGTTGTGTACAGAATCACAATCTTACACTCATCATTTTTTTCTATCGAACCCATCTTCAACTCAAATGTTTTATAAATATAAAGAATCGTTCAATCTAGACTACATAATTTAAAAAATCTTGTTTATAATCATAACTATCAAAATTGGGTAAGTTGGCTTTCATATAAAAATTCTCAAACTTAAAACTACATCCTCAGTATCCTCAAGCATAATCATGACCACCACACGTACATGTAGCATACTCTTTATAATCACTAGAATTTATATCATAAATATAAAAGCGTTTGGTAGGTACAGGGTTACGATCTTGAATAAGTCAAACACAAATTTGAGTATCGTTGTTGTGCATTCTATTATGATTTAGTTCTTGATTCTTTCCTAACTTTGACCAAGCAACCAGATTATGAAAATCATGATAAGTTTTCTAGCCCCATGCTGAGAATTGAAGAAATAATTGGCTCACGGAAGATCTTTCTCCACATGCTCATCGTCACAAAAAGATTGCTACAACTTCGTTAGCTAGAAATCATATAAGGTTATTCAAGGTAATGATACCAGATCGATGTTGTGACGGTAAAGTGGACACAAATAGCTCTCTTTTTCTTTGTATATTGAACTCACACAAACAATCCTAAATCCTCAAGAAAAGAAGAAAAATTCCCTAAAATATAATTTATAAAATTGATTTGATTATTAGAAATTTATAGGGTGTGTTTGTGTGCCGAATAACTGGGGTATTATGGGGTGGGATAGAGTAAATTATTATATGAGCCCACTTATATCTTGTTAGTTTTATAATTTATGTTCATCACTATTTTTGGGGTCCAAATCCTGATCCAGTTTCTACGGCAACAATGTACCTATGTACATGGGTATATTCAGTACTAGCTAATAGGTGGTATAATGAATGGGTATTATTTCCACCGACAGTATAAACTACACAATTATCATAACATCCCTTTGTACACAAACCCTATATAAAGTCATTTTTACACATTTTATTCCCAGCACAAGTGCTTGCTTCAACAAACAAGGTCATGGATTGGATTGCAATAAGGTTGAAAGTGTCTTTTTGCATAGAATATGTCAATTGATATTCACTTTTTTGGTAGGCCCCATTTAATCCATTTAGATGAAAACAAACCAAAGCTGGCATTGGATAAGAGTGTAATACTAGTACTAATTTCTCGTTGGATAAGTTTGATATATATAGCATTTGTCAATACCAACAAATGTTATCGGACAAAGAAAAAACACCCATAGTATGTAGGGACAATTTATAAGAAAGTCAGAAACCTTAAAAGTTCTCAAAACCCACTTAAATTCCAAATTTTATCAAAGTTATTAAATATAAAAAATAACAATACAAGTAGTTTGCCGTTTAGAAAAATAGGTATGAGGTAAGCAACTAATTATTATCGAAAACTAAAATATTTTTAATTAAATGTTATCCAAAAAAAATAAAAAAAAAACGAAGAAGAAGAAGAAACATTGTAATGTCTAATCTACATTGTAAAATGTAAAAATACTATTAAAGCAAAAAAGTGTTAAGGTCCTCACACCAGAGGCTGGTGCATTATTTCTCTCTCTATATCAAAAAAATGTAACATCACCTAAAAGACTGATTGCAATAATAAAATCAATCAAAGAGTTTGATTCATGAACGGACCTACTAAACTTAGGATTTGAATCCCAGCATAGAAAAAAACAAAATCAATGGTCAATCCTAGCATTGTATTCATGAAAATAATAGCTCGTTCATCCCCTCTTGCCGAGGCATTTGAAGACAGTGTATCGGTGGCGATGACAACCTTTCTGGCTGGTTACATGAAAGGAACTAAACGAATCAATAATGAACATTTTTCAAGAACTTCATTCATGAACAAACCTACTATAAATGAACTCCAATGAATGATCAAATCAAGGTTCAGAGGTAGCACACACTAGGTTCATGAAATGGTGGGTTCAGGTTCGTGTATGATCATCGACACGTGGTGTTGAAGCATTCCAAAGTTGTCCATCAATGGGGTACTTTGAGTACATGCTCGGCTCAACTTGGATAGGTCCGAGGTGAATAAAGTTCGAGCACGAAGGTAGATATTAATATCCTCGAACAAGGCTGAATGTGGCTAGGGTGTAGCTCTGCCTTGGTTTATGCTAGGGTTTAGAGAGAACTCTCAGAGAGATTTAGTTTGCACCCTGGAGGAACATCCTCTCCGATATATTTTTTTCCTCCAATTACTTTCTTAGTAGATCACTTAGTATAAATCGATATGGAATAGATTGTGTATAAGTGAATTTCTCATTATTACATAGTGGAAGATCTACTGGGGAACAAAATAAAAGAAAAAAATATTAGATGCGATCTGGATCTCCAATATCATATCTGTGCCATCCCCGTTAGATTTGTTTAATCTCTTGTACAGTTGATTGAGTTTGTTCTTTACTAGTTCTTTGCATCGACACCCACTGTTTTGGGAGGGCTTGATAAAACTCAATGCTATTTTACTTGGTCCAAAGATATGATAAACTGTGGTCATAGAACCATAGAACCCAACCATCTGATCTCCATTTAGTTACTTCCTTTGTCCCCACGCGTGTCTCTATCATATTCACTTTTAGGACACTATCCATCAATGTCCAAAGATATAAGATAAAATTGGATCAGTGATAACTGAGTGACATGTCTGAGTGAGTGTGACATGAGATCATAAATACTTTGAACTAGCAGTATGGGTCTGAGTCTATCAAAGAGGTTCTTATCTTGAAAGTTGAAAACCAAGGAAGTCTCTTTAGATATGGTGCTCTTGGTTGGGATGCTTTGATCCCCATAAAGTGTGTGTGTGTGTTTTTTTTTTTGTGTGGGGGGGGGGGGGGAACCTCTTTTGAAAGGTAAGAACATGCAGTGTTTTTTTGGCTGAAGATAACATCATGTAGACATGGTCCCCAAGTGGGCCTATTAATATCACTTTTCGCCAGGGTTTGACAAAAATATGGTGTAGGCTTGATTAAACTTGGTTCATTTTGGGTGCAGTTATAAGCTTGCTTTGATTAAACGTGAAAATGATATAATTTGTTGCTATCCGTTGGATTAACAAGTTAGGTTCATTCATATTGAAAATAGAATAAAATCAAGGCTTAGAGACGCATAAGATCACTTTTTTTAAAGTGATATTTGCCCCCACCCAAAGAGTTAGCTGTAGAGTTTTTGACAAATCACAACAAAGCTTTTGGACGAAGAATTGCAATTAACAATATCAAAGGACTGCAATTAACAAGATTAAGAAAATTTCCCAAGAAATCTCCTTGAACCATTTTTATTGAGTGAGAGAGAGAGATATGCGTTATATAAAACACTAGTGTACGTCTTTGTGAACGAAGTTTAGGACTCTATTTATACATTTCTTAGTGTCTTTACCAAAAGTCGTAACTCCCAAAAAAAGTACATTTTTCTTAATGTTCCGTTTGGTAGGGAGGATTGAAAGTAGGACGGATGAAAAATAGGAGAAATACACTTTCTATCCTTCAAGGATGGAAAGTAGGAAAGATACACTTTCCTTCCTTTGTGTTTGGTTGGATGGATGAAAAATAAAAATAACTATTTTAAATTTTTTTTTTTTTTTGTGCTGGCTAAGATTAGGGGTGATAATCGAGTCGAGTCGTGACGTGTCAGATCCGTGTTAAATCATTACGAGTTTGTGTCGAATATTTGTCAAACCTAACTTATTTAACTAATTGTGTCGTATCGAATTGCGAGTTGAATTGTATATTTTCGTACCGAGTTCGAGTCGTGTCATCGTATTGAGTCAAAAATTTTCACCTTTAGTTAAGATGGAAAAAATATATTTTTTTATTTAAAAATTTTTACTTTCTTTATTTTAAATTTTTTAAAATTTTTTAAATTTTAAATTTTAATTTTTTTTAATTTTTTAAAATTTAAAATTTTAAATTTTTTTACTTTTTTAAAATTTATTTTAAAATTTTTTTAAAATATATATACATATTTTACCATTGTATTTTTATATGAAATTAATATATACATAAAATATATAGATAAATAAGATATATCTCAACACAAGTAATTAACTTTCCATCTACATTCCTTCCAATTTTTGAGAGATTGATTTTGGTGAGTTGGAAGGAAAGTTAATCTATCAACTTTTTCATCCTTCCTACTTTTTTTCCTTACCAAACATGATATTTTATTTATC